CTGTTGCATTCTGGTGTAACAGCAGCAGAGCCCTGTGCTGTTTGCTCCACTGAAACACAGGGTCACACAGACCAGCCTGTAGGCCCAGACTAAGGTAAACTACAGCTTGCCCCYCTCCATCATTTATTTGTACTACAGCACACAGCCACACCAGACATCAGAACTTCCTMTCTTTCCTTTTTCCTCCCTTTGAAACACCCTACAGGTGAGGAAACATCCTCCTTGTCCCTCTGGTGTTCATATAGGAACCCTTCTCCCTTCCTGTCCATCCTTAACCATCACCACACCTCTGGCTTTCCTGAAGGACTCAGTGACCACCAAGCAGCAGGTTGATCATCAGACAGTCAAACTTTGAGTTAAAATTCAAACACTGAGGTTCTGCCCTCCAAGAGATTCTTTTYGAAAGAGCAATACTATACAGCTCTTCCTCTAAACAAATATTTAAGTGCTTTATATTTGAATGGCACAGACATAGAAACACCCACTCCCCACAACTAAATGGAGCCTTTTATGTTAAATAAAATCAGGCAGAAGGATAGGAAGCAAGATGACATTTAAGAGCAACATTCAGTTTAGGACAATTACTTCACAGCTAATAAAAAGTATCTGCTGAAATTTCGAAGAAATGCTTAATTACCTAACTGAAGGCTTCTTATCTCAGCCACTAAACAAACATTCATTTTTTAAAAATTGTAACTTTCAGATTCTGTGCCCAATCTTCCAGCACAGATAAAACAAGACTTTCTAATAACACAAGTACAAATKCCCAAACTAACGTTTTTAAGGAATTTTTGTAAGGTCAGCCTTGAAATCATGATGGAAAAAAACCAGAATATCTGCCTACTACTACTAGCACAAACACAACCCCCTTATTTTCAGCTAGGTTTTATTTGCTTTCAATATTCTTGAAGAGAATATTTTCACCAATTTGATAAATCCAAAGTACATAATTCTATCAGCTTTTGGGGACTACAGCAAAATTTAGAGTATGTTYTGAGACTCCAATAAAGACACTGACAAGGAAGGCAAAAAACCCCTATGCATGACTGCTTTAAGGAAACTGTTGTGACAATGAACCCCATCACAATATAGACTCCTGCAACTATGTTGGAACAAACAATAATATATCGCTTTACTTAATTTGATTTATAGATTTTACTGCTGTTTGCAAAGGTGTATAAGGTGTCTAAAGACAAAATTATGCAAAAATAAACCTGCAGTTATTCAAGGCATATAAATCAAATTACTCTATACTTACTCTGATCCAAGTCATAGCAGCATCTGGTGYTTAAATGTAACTAAATGGTGCCTGGAGGCCTTGGAAAGGCTCTGCAGTAACCTAACCAAACACAGGAATATGGCCCTCCAGAGGCCTGCAGAGACACCTCAAGCAGTACTAGCCCSACAGCCATTACAAGAAAACAAAACCACCTGTTGAACAGCTGTCCCAATAGGTCTGATTACAGGCTTTGCAAATTAGAAAATTACCTTGAAAATACGGGTGTTCCCACCCAGCTTCAACAAGTGAAATAACTGCTAGAAAATGAAGCCCGTTAAAAACACACAAAGTTGATAGTTAAAGCTAAAAGCTGTATAACAGATGCACCTGGAGTTTTTCAGCTACAGACTCAGTACTTTTAGTTTTGTTATTGTATTTGATTTTACAAAAAACTGTTTCAAGCCACATAAAATTATCTAGCATTTCTTACSACTCTTTTTATTCTTTATTTTTTACCATTTTTTAATGCATGACTCTATCTAGATTCCTTGCCACTGCTGGTACTCTTATCCAGACTTCTCTATTACTGGACTTAATTCCTAGATTAAGGCCTTACCTTTGTCTAACAATATCACAACATGAATCTTTGGCTTACAAATCTTTCAGACTCCATGAGAAAAAAGGCATTCAAAGCAACCACTGCCAACTAAATTTAAGCACTACACAGTTTTTCTGGGCCAAAAATGTATTAGTTTTAAATTAAGAGTTTCAGCATTTTTAGTCTGTTTCCAGTTGATTGTCCTAGAATACTCATCAGTGCAAATTGAATGTCACTAAAAAGATTACATGTAACAGCATAGTTAAATTAAAATACCCAGAGTTACAAAGATTGCCCAGGAAGAATTATTTTCATTTTTCATACTGAAGTCTGGATACGCAAAGATGTATTCCTTTCCTATTTCCCCTACATGGGAATATATTACTGAAACATTATCCAAACATCGTGTGGGAATGGAGACTTGCACTTGAAAGCCAGTAAAGGCAGTGTTGCTGTGCGGAAATGCAGAGCCCGGAAGGGCGCACGGGGSAGATGAATGGCCCGGCCCAGTTTGAGCAGGAACGGCAGCGCCCCTGTGGCCAACAGGCGCCACCCTCTGGTGCTATCCTGGAAATAAATTTTATTTATGATGAAGAGCTGCACTATTCTTCCGCTATTATCATTTAATCCCACTTTAGAACACCATGCTTTAAAATTATTGCATTTATAAGTCTGTAAGTCATGTGAGCACAAATACTCTTCTTCCTTTAGAACTGATTAGAAGACATCATCTTATGTTTCTCATCATCACACAAAATTAGGCTCCAGTTTATTTGCCAGTCTGAACTCAGAAATACAGAACTCCACAAGAAACTTACCTCTGTTAGTACCCGGAGTCCATGTCATCCAACTTAAGACCTTTAGCAGGCTGCAGCATAATTCTCTTCTTTCATGGTCAGCTTTTATTTTCATTGCAGAAAGGGACTATACGAAAAATAGTATCTCTGAAGTTGTGCTGATATATTGCTGTGGCACACACGTGGACAAAGGGAAGGGAGGTGCTCATGTAYCTCACAAATTACATAAGCTTATGTGAATTGAGGTGAAAAGTTAAATATTTGTCAAATACAGTCAGTGGTACTGAACTTCCTTTGTGTGTAGAACTCTCAGATCATTACACAGGGTGAACAGCCACGCGTGGCTGAAAGGTTGTAGATAGAACAGACACATCACAGAGATTAAGATTTCTGAAAGAAACAGCTTCAAGGAGGTATTACACAATGAGACAAACACACCACAGGCCAAGAAGGCTGGACAAGTGCTCACAGAAACACAAGAGTACAGATGGCTCAGATTGACATCTGACTAGCCACAGTCTTCTATTCTGTTCTCAGGTTCACTTTTGTACCACCACAAGTTAGTTCTGCTTCAGAGTCTGACCCTGTAAAAAACAGTGATTACTAAAACAAGTAACAATCAAGTTATGCCTTGTTCAGCTGCTCGTGCTCTGAAATCAACATTCCCCATCAAAAATAGCCATTGGTCCACCTGGTCACCCGCACTTTGATGAAAAATCCAGAACTAGGAAGCCCGTGTTTTAATTTAGTCAGCAACTTCTGAGAAATACCAAATGCACAGGCAAATCTTGTGGAATATGATAGGGCTAAGCTCCGCCTCGTACCGCTACATTAAAACAACAGGAGTACAAGCTCCCAAGTTTGCACAAAACCCCAAATGCTCATAGGCAAGTACATTTTCCTCCTTACTGTTTCCAGTGCCATTTAAAAAGGAAGCAAAGCTGTCAGTCGGGGCAGGTTTCCTCTGTTTCCCCGAGGGGTGTGGGGCTGAGCTGCCCGCAGCGGGCGGGGGGTGCCGAGCCCTCCTGAGGGGCCGGAGAGAGCACAGGGCGCCACCCAGCGGAGCGGAGCTTCGGGCCTCGCGCCGCTCTCCGGCC